GCCCTGTGGGATTTGAACAGCCGAACTGCTGAACTGCAGTCAGCTGAAGTAGCCTGCAGTGCTGCATTTAACCACTGCGCCACCTTGGCTCTTTATATGTATAAATTGTGGTTGTACTTTTTAAGATAAGGACTAACAAACTTTTTTTTTTCCTTTGGACAATCTTCTGCATTCTTCCTGGGGGAAGCAAAGAACATAACTAGCAATTTCATGATTGTCATTGAAGTGGAAGGAGCCCTGAGCCAGAAAAGTCTCAATCCTACTCATTTCAAAATGGACTGAAATAAGTACTAGATGTAGGTGTAGGTGAATGGCACTCTTATAGTTTTAGAACAATGTGGTTTTAGGCTAGCAGGTGCATTGATGTCAGAGAGATGTGACTAGCGCTTGTAAATCCTACTTCTACTTTACTAGATGTGTGAAGACATTTACCTAAAAGTTTTTCTCGCCATGCCATTCCTCATCTTGCAGCAAAGGTTGCCCTTTGTGATTATGTTCTTCCACATGAAATGAAATAAAGCCAATACTGTAAGTGCACAATCTGACTCGGGTCTCATCCAAATACTAATGTGTTTTCCTCTGTCTGTGAGGCAACACGGAAGTATGCAGGCATAATTTGCTCTAACCTGGCAGCCAATTTGTTCAGTGAGTGATGCTGCTTTTATGGATTTAATGAAAGGCACTGATTGGAGCTTGCATTTCTCCTCCTCACCAACTCTTTGAAGGATATGGGCAACACAGAAATGTGAAAAATAAAATAAATCATTCCCACACCCGCTTGGCAGGCAAGGAAAGCAACTAATAAAAGTGTTTTCCTTAATAATGTAGCATGACAGAATTGGGCAATGGGAATCTGCATATCACCCTTCCTTCAGTGGAAATTAATATTGCTCTGGTCAGTTCTGCCATCAGATTGAAACAAAAATTGCCATGCACCAACTTTGAAGCTTTCCACATAATACGTTCATCATATGAGTGCTTCCCAGTGACGTGTGGTGAGGTTTATGGCTGGTGAGGCACTGACACAGTGGTGGGTTTCAAATTTTTTTAGACTTGTGGACTTCAACTCCCAGAATT